TCCCATCCCATCCCATCCTCATCCTATGTTCATTCCCATCATGTCCACTTCCTATCTTCATCCACATTCCAATCCCATCTCTATCCCCACCCCATTCCAATCCATCCATCCACACCCTATCCCTGATCCCATCCCCTCTTCATCCCCATCTTACCTCTGTCCAAACCTCCATCCCCATTCTGACCCATCCCATTCTCCACCCCCATCCCACAGATATCCCGTTCTCTCCCCATCCAACGCCATTCCCAGCTCACCCCTATCTTCATCCCATCTCCATTCCCATTCCATGCATGGGAATGGCGAGATCCCAGCCCCATCTCCATCCCCAGAGTCTCCATCCCCAAACCCATTAATCTCTGGGGTGTCCCACCGTGGCTCTCCAGGGGAACCCATTGCCCCATCTGCCACCCCTGGCTGGGGGTCCCCAGCCCCAGCTCTGCCCAGCTCCCCCCATCCCTCACCGCTGGAGCAGCTGGGGCCGCGCCAGCCCGGCTCGCACTGGCACAGCTCGGGAGCGACGCAGCGGCCGTGGACACACTCCTGGCTGCAGTGAGCTGGGGGGACACGGCCAAGCAGAGAGTGTCCTCAGGGACCTCTGGGGACACCTGTGGTGGGACACAGCCCCCTGACCCCCGGCCCCACTCACGGACACAGGAGTCCCGGCTCTCGTAGTAGCCCTGGCAGCACTGGTAGCGCCGCCGGTAGTCGGTGCGGATGGCCTGGCGGTACTCGGTGCGGTACACGACCCTGGGCCATCAAAGGGGACAGTGACTGTCCTGTTCCCCTCGGACCCTGCACCGGGACAGCCCTCCCAGTCCCCCTGGCCTTGGGCACAGCCCCCCTCCAGTCCTCCCAGGGCCTTGGGGACACCCTGTGCTGGGATAATCTCCCTTCAGCTCCCCATGGCCCCTTGGCACAACCCTGCTCCAGCCCCCCCGGCCTTGGGGCAACCCCCCTCCAGCCCCTCCCCAGCCCTGGGCACAGCCCCCCTCCCGCCCCCTCACTGTCCTTGCCACATCCTGGGCTGGGACATTCTCCCTCCAGCCCCTCATAGCCTTGGGGACACCCTGGGGTGGGACAGTCCCCCTTCAATCCCTCCCTCCACGCCCCCAATAATCCTTGGGAACACACTGCAGTGGGACATGTCCCTCCAGCCCCCCACGACCCTGAGGACACCCTGCGGTGTCCGAGGGGCTCTGGAGAGCTGGGGGTGCTCCCACCTCTGCTGTGGGCAGGGCAGGGAGAGGCCCAGCCCCCCTGGACAGGGCTCGCTGGAGGTCACGACGTGGGGTTTGGTGTACGATTCCTTCACTGGCGCCGTGAAGCTGAGGGTGGGGGGAATGTGGGGTGACTGCAGGTCCTGGGAGACCCCACCGCTGTCACCGTCCCCCTCCCCTGTCACCCCAGTCCTACCTCTCCCAGTAGCTGCAGACATTGGGGTCTCCGGGGCGGAGGGCAGCCAGGAGCCCGGCATGCACCGCCAGCACCGCGGCCCGCAGCAGCATCCTGCACGGAGAGACCACAGCTTCACTCCGTGCCTCCGCACATTCCCGCTCCCCACCCACCGCCCCCGGCCCCAGCTCCAGCTCCGACCTCCCTGCAGGGCTGGCTTTGCATTCCTCTATCCAGAGAAACAGCCCCGGCCCCGGCCCCGCTGCTCCCCAAGCGCTGACCTGTGCCAAGGGGAAACTGAGGCACGGCCGCTCAGCAGCCTGGGTGGCCCCACGGAGCCTCATCCCAGCACCCTGAAACACCCCGGGGCATCACCCCGACCTGTCCTGCCAGACCCCATCCTAAGGGGGGGAGCTGCCTGAGGTGGGAACGCGGGGTGCCAGGGTGCCGGGGTGGGGCTGGGCACGGCGCCTCCAGCCCCTGGCACGGCGCCGCGTGGCCCCACTTCAACCCGCTCTGTGTTTATTCCCAGTTGTGTTTCCTGGATCCAGCAGCTTCTTGCTCAACCCAGAGAGGGTCCGGCTCTGCCGGGGCGGCTCTGGGAACGCTGCCAGCCGGAGGCCAGGGTGGGAGGGCTGGAGACCCCCGAGCCCCTCGTGCCGGGCGTGCTGTTTACCGGGATGAGTGTTTCAGGGCAGGACTGCCGTGTGCCAAGGAGGAAACAGAGGTTTCCTGGTCAGCACAGCTGGATTTACCGGGGCTTCCTTGCTGCTCCAGCCATAGGACACCCCAAAGGTGCTGCCCCAGCAGCTCCCTGGGTTCATCCTCCCCCTCACCAGAGCCTGCGCTGCGTTTTGGGGCCAGAGCATCCGGTTTTGGGTGGAAAAACTGTTAGTGGGAAAGTTTCCCCCCATTTCCCTTCAACTCCCGGCAGTGAGGAATTAATTGCTTATCCGCTGCCAAAATTCCCTCCCGTGGACCCTGCTGAGGGGGAGAGAGCCAAGGGAACCCCAAGCTCTCCCCTGTGCCCCACTTATCCACAGCCTCATCCCCTGTTCCAGCAATGTGGAGGGACCGGGGGGTCCCAGCATTGCCGGGAAAAACAGGAACCACGGGGAGATACTGACAGGAAAAGCAAGGAGCCATCAAAACGTGCCGGCATGTCCCATCTGCTCCTCACTGTGAGGCTCAGCGGCGGGAAAGGCCCCCCTCAAGGCTGCAATAATGTCAAGAGAAACCCCAAGACCCGACGCTCCTCTCCCCACTGGTGTCCCTAAGAGCTCCCTGGGTGGGATGAGAAGCATCCCACTGGTGATGGGGCTGAAAGGAGTTTGTGGGGTGAGTGTAGGAGACCAGGGCGCAGTCCTGCCCTGTCCCTGCGGGGGACACGGTGCTGGGGCCGCCCCACAGCCGCTATCTCTGCCCCGGCGCTTCCTCTGCCACAGCCCGGGGTCTGACGCGTTTCCTCTGCGGACCCACAAGGATGGGGCTGGGTGAGGGCGATGGGGGCACGGGTACAAGTCAGGGACAGGGGAAGAGTCCGGGTCAGCACTGGGGTCACCGCGGGGTGTCGCAGCACCGTCCCTCGCCCCATCCGCTGTCCCCTCACCTTGGAACCTGCCCCATCCCCTGTCCCCCACGGCGCTGGGGACCGTCCCCTCCGATAGCACCCAGCAGGGGACGGTGCAGCCCGTCCGACCCAGCCCTCGCCCCAGGGTGGCCCGGGCGGGGGACAGTGGCACTCACCTGGCCGGGGGCCGCGGTGGCCGGCAGGGTCAGGGCGCAGCGGCCCCGACACGGGGCTGGCCTGGCCGGCCGGGATGGCGCAGCACGGCCGTCGGAAGCGGAGGGAGGGCTGGAGCTGCTCTCAGGAAGTTTGGACGTGGAGTCAACTACGGAAAAGGGAAAAAAATAAAAAAAAGTAATTATTTTTTTTCTTTTTTTTTTTTTTTTTTTCTTCTGTAGTCCTAAAGACTTTACATCTTTATTATCCTTCCTGAATTTATTCACCTTTTTTCACTTTTTCCTTTTTTTTTTTTTTTTTTTTTTTTTTTTTTTTTTTTTTTTTTTTTTTTTCTTCTGTCCAGAAACCAGAGGGTTTTGGCACAGCAGCACTGCCGGGGCTGCTCACACAGAGCACTGAATGGGGAGGGGTCTTTGGGGACATCCTGGTGCAGCCTCTCAGCAGGGTCCTGGTGCTGCAGGGTGTCCCCTCCCCGAGAGCTCTGTGGCACCCGTGGGTGCAAGGCCTGACTCGAGTTGTCCCACAGGGGTGGGGCAAGCAAAGGGATCTCCTGACCAAGGGACAGCTGCTCTGTGGTGAGGGGATGTGGGGACCAGGGAAATGTGGGGACAGGCAGGGGCCACCCCAAAGAGCCACCGAGCCTTTTCTTTGCTGGGGTCACACTGGAGGGGACAGGGATGGGATGGGATGGGATGAGATGGAATGGGATTCGGATGGTGTGGAGATGGAGATGATGGAGATGGGAATGAGAATGGCAGGGGGATGAGGACAGGGAGGAGGATGGTGATGGGATTCAGATAGGAATGAGAATGGGATGAAGATCAAGATGAGGATGGGAGTGGGATGGAGATGGGGACGGGGACAGGGACTAGAATGGTGACAACATGGAGATGAGGATGGGATGAAGATGGGGTTGGTTACAGTGATGGGGTTGGGGTGATCCCCACTCACCCACAGTGTACATGCCTGATGAGTGGGAGGGGTCCCGGGAGAAGATCACAGTGATCCGGGAGCTGGGACAGGGCTCTTTGGGATGGTGTATGAGGGGGTGGTCACGGAGCAGCAGCTGCTGGCAGCAGAGCAGAGCCCAGGGGTGGTGCCCAACATCCCAGGCACGGCATTGTTCCTGCATCCTGGGCACACATTATCCCTGCATCCCAGGGACTCATCATTCCTGCGTCCCCAAATCTCAGGTAGCCATTCCCCCCCCCCATCCTGGGCACACAGGATCCTCACATCTCGGGATCCTGGGCACATCCCAGGCATGAGTGACCCTCGCATCCCAGACAGCCCAGCCCTACACTGCAGGATCCCTGGCCATGTGTGCCCCTGCATCCCAGGGTCTCTGGCCATACATCACCCCCATATCCTGGGATCCCTGGCCTTGCATCACCCCCATATCCCTGGATTCTCATCTGCATCCCTGGATCCAGACTATATATCACAATTATATCCCGGACTCTTGACCATATCCTCGCATCCCGAGATTCCAATGTCACCACGTGTTCTCCCGAACCCGGGACCCCCGGCCAGGCAGCTCAGCACCACGGACCCCCCTTGCCCAGCTGCCCCCCACCCCCAGCACACATTAGCGGCCTCCGCGGCTCCCGAGGCGCCGTTAATTGCTCTGCTCGTTACAGGAACAGCTCTAATCACTCACAACGATTTTCACATCCCAGGGAGACTCAGCTGCCCGCCCCCTCCCCGTTCCTCTACCCGGGTCTCCATTAGGATCAAGCCCACCCGCAGCTGGGGCTCCGCTGTGGCCACCAAAAACGGCGCTTCCCGGAGCAGGGGTGGGCATCGGGAACGTGGGGGCTGCGGCGTCCCGGTGTAGGAAAGGATATTGGAGATGGGACAGGTTGGGGACATCCGGAGCTGAGGATCCGGTGGGGAAGTGACCCCTCCCTCCAATGCTTTTTAAGGTGTCCCCAGGGCGGTGGGGAAATATTGCTCGGGGACACTCCAGTGGTACTTCAGTGCTGAGATGCCTTTGCAGCCCCCTCGGGACCCTTAGGGAGGATGGAGACCCCCAAGTGCACTTTGGTGTGGTTGGGGCTGTGCGGGGCTGTTCTCTCTCAGTGCCAGGATCCAGCTGTATTCCCCTAAACATCCACCCCATCAGGAGGGGAAACCCCGAACACGACTGATCCTCTTAGAGGGGATCTAGGGAGCTTCTGGGATGGAGTGGGACCCTCTAAAGAGCAGACCCAGCCCTGCCATGGCGTGAACAGGTGGCACAGCCGGGATGGGCAGGATGTGGCTGGGGACCACCAGCAGCTGTGTTGGCTGCACGAGGCAGAATCGGGTCCGGGACCCCCCAGCCCTGGTGAAGCCGGGTTAGCGGGGCCAGGCCCCGGTGCCGCTGGGGCGGCAGCTCCGCCAGGGAGCGGAGCCGTTAATTACCTCATTGCCAGAGTCCATTACCGCTCCCCCCGGAGCACTGAAATGGAGAAACTTCGGCAGCAGCCAGGGGGGCAGAAAATCGATCGCGGGGTGAACCTTAACTCTTCCCTGACCACTCTAAGGGGGGAAACTGAGGCATTGCCACCCCACGAAGGAATCTGAGGCACAGACGCAGGAAAGCTCACCCTGTTTGGAGAGGGGGTGTCACCACTGCACACGGTCCCTTTTGGGGCATTGGTCTGCGGCAATCTCCAGCATGGGGCTGGAAAAGCTCAAGGTTGTAATCTAGTTCCTTCCTCAAATTAGATAAGAGGGAAAAAGGCCATAAATCAGCGTGGGCAGCGATTAGAGACCCCAAGGAAGCAGGTGGGGGGCTCTGCCAGCCAGGCTGAGCTCCAACAGAGCCGGACCTTGCCCATGCCAGCTCCCCATTTCCTGGGGCAGGACCCTCTGCAAAGATCCAGGGCCAGCCAGAGGGGCTTGACCCCTCTGCAGGGTTTTGGGATGCATTACAGGCTGGGAGCTGCGGGGTGCTGGTGATGGCTCCCATTTCCCCCAGTTGTTGTGCCACATGCAGCCACTGGGCACAGCCAGGTGCTGTGCCAGCCCCTGGCCCCTCAGCACCTGCCACAGACCCCCCTGACTACTCCCACCTTGGGCTATGCCTCAGTTTCCCCCGTGACCCCGCTTTCCTCCTGCTTATCTTGGGTCACAGGGGGTAACAAAGGAGCTGCCAGGGCTCTGCCTGTGCTGCCTAATTATCCAGATGAAATCAATTCAGCTCCATTATGGTCAAATCCAGGTCTCAACCATTACCAAGGCGGCTGGAGAGCCTGAGGAAGGATGATGGAGTGGATGCTACAGGGCATGTGATAACCCCGTGGTTCCGATGAGAGGACACAGGCAAGGAGGGATGTCGCTCTTTTAGGGGGGATGGGTGTTGGCTTTGTGCTGCAAAGTCCTATCCTCCGCCTGGAGCCCTTGGAGGAGAATCAGGCTCCCCAGGCCAGGGTGTGGCACAAGAACCCCTGGAGTGCTGCCCACGGTGGTCCTCATGGCACAGCCAAAACCATCCCTTTCTGGGCTGGGGATGAGGACCCCACCCCTGCTCTGGTCCCTGGGTACAAAGCACAGGCTCCTGGGCATGTGTGACAGGACAGGTTCTTGGGCACACAGCATTGTCCCCATATCCTGGGGTCCCTGGGACAGCACCTTCCCTCCAGCTCCTCACTCCCAGACAGGGCAGCTTCCCTGATGGGAAAAGCCCCTCTTTCTCCCCAAAACCCCCCCATCCCACCTGCCCAGCTGACACCCTGGAGCACGCAGGGGCCAGTGCGGGGGAGACACAGTTTATTATTGACTGGTTTTGCTGTAGAATGGGAGAGCATGGGGCATCCCAACTCCTCCAGGAGAGCTGAGCCCCCCAGCTCCTGCACTGGCACAGACCCCATGCTGGGGTATCCCAGTTCTGCCCCCCTGAGCCAACCCACATCAGCCAAGAGCCTCCATCCTGGCACTGTGGGAATGCCAGGGAGCCAGACAGCAGGGCCACGACCCGGGGGCCACAGCCCTGGGAGTCCTCCAGCCCAGCCCTCCAGCCCCCCCCCGGGAGCGGGCTGGCATTTTGCACTATAAATAAGGTTTCAGGCTTCTGCTGCCTTGGGGCATCAGTCCAGGGCTGTGTGGGGTAAAGCCGTGGCCCTGGGCAGCAGGGCAGGCAGGGGAACTGCAGGGAGCAGAGGGTGGGTGGGGGTCCCCACTCAGCCCAGGATGTCCAGGTAGACAGGGGGTGTCTTGACGAGGGCCTGGAGGCGGCTGTGGATCTCCTTGATGGGCTGGCGCTGCTGGGGCTCCCGGTGCCAGCAGCTCTGCATGATGGCATAGACCTCGGAGGGACACGTGCGGGGCCGCTCCAGCTCCCGGCCCTGAGTGATGCACTCGATGGCCTGCAGCAACAGGGATGGAGATGGGATCCCCCACTCTGGGCACCCCCTGGGGGGGCTGTTACCATCCTCCTTCCCTCCCTTGCTCACCTCGGTGTTGGAGAGCTGGTACCAGGGCTGCTTCCCGTAGGTGAAGATCTCCCAGAGCACCACGCCGAAGCTCCAGATATCGCTCTCGGTGGTGAATTTACGATACAGGATGCTCTCGGGAGGCATCCAGCGGATGGGCAGCATGGTCCTGCCCCCCACCTACCCACAGCAGGGCTGTCAGCAAAGCAGGGACCCTCCTGTTCCCCTTCCCCCATCCCTGGCCCCACTAATGAGTCCCCAGGTTAGATGTAAGGAAGATATTTTTACTCTGAGGGTGAGTGGTGATGCCCTGGCACAGGTTGCCCAGAGAAGCTGTGGCTGCCCCATCCCTGGAGATATTCAAGGTCAGGATTTGGAGCAAGCAACCTGTTCTATTGGAAAGCGTCCCTGCAGGTTGAGCTGGATGGTTTCCAAACATCCTTTCCAACCCAACTCATTCTGCGGTTAAATATGGATGGAGAAGGGGTGGGAGGCAGCAACCATGAGGGAAAATTGAGTGTGGCCTCCCAGCCCATCACAGAGCAGAGAGGAGAGAGGGAACAGCTCACCCGGTAGTAGTCAGTGCTGTAGATGTCCCGGGACATGCCAAAATCCCCGATCTTCACCACCAGGTCATTGCCCACCAGGCAGTTGCGGGTGGCCAAGTCCCGGTGGACGAAGTGGAGGGAGGCGAGGTAGACCATGCCCGAGGCGATCTGCGTGGCGATGTGCAGCATGTGGCCCAGGGCCAGCGGCCCCCGGGGCTGGCCCGGACCCTGCTCCAGGATCTTGGCATCCGGGCCATGGGACCTGCGGGGAAGAGGGGCTGCTTGGAATGCAGGACGTGTGTGGGAGAGGCAGGGGAAAGGGGTAAATCTAGAGAAGGGTTTACACGTGGGGAAAGGTGCTCAGATACCAGGCACAGGCAAGAACTTGTGTTCACACACACCAGAGAAGGGCGTGCATGTGTGTGTGCATGCACATGGGGCAAAAATATGCACACACACACACGTGTGCATCCTGCCCTGCCACACAAAGAAAAGGCATGGACATGTGTGCCAGAGAAGGGAGTGCACACACACACACACACCTGCACAGATGTGCTCACATACACGTGTGTGCACAGGAGAAGAGCTGTGTGCATGTGAGGAAGGGTTACACACAAGGGAAAGGTGTGCGTGTGCTCACCTGTGCGTGCACACAGGGGAGGGCACACACGCAGGTGCACGCACATGGGCTGTCCCCCTGTGGAAGGGAGGGTGTCGGGGTGGAAGGGAGGGTGTCGGGGCGGGTGTGAAAGCAGCAGCCTGTGTGAAGTGGGGCGTGCGAGCCCGGCCCGGGGCCAGCGCGGCTCCGGCCGCCTGCAGCCTCTCGGTGCCTTTGATGCCGAGCACGGCTGACAGCCCGGCCAGGGCGGCCGCGGCCGGGGGCTGGGGGAGCTCTGCTCGGCAGAACCATTAATGCCAACTCCCATAACAATAATCATAAAAGCCACGTCTCAGAGCTCCTCGCGCGGCCACTAAAGCGATGCCTCTGGCAGCCCCCC